AACAAGAGCAAAACTCCGTCACAAAAAAAAAAAAAAAAAAAACATGTGGCAAGCCAGAAACCTGGACCAGGCAGCTGCCCCAGGGGCCTGTGTTCTCAACTATGATGCTATAGTGCCTGGGAATATGTCAGCAGCTGTCTGCCACCAACCAGGCACTGGCTGCTTCCCACTAAGAGGAGAGAGACATGCTTGGGAATCCCAAAAGATTCCTTTTGGAGACAGAATCTTGCTCTGTCGCCCGGCTGGAGTGCAGTGGCATAATCTCGATTCACTGCAACCTCCACCTCCCAGGTTCAAGCGATTCTCCTGCCTCAGCCCCCTGAGTAGCTAAGATTACAGGTGCCCACTACCACATCCAGCTAATTTTTGTATTTTTAGTAGAGACAGGGTTTCACCACATTGGCCAGGCTGGTCTTGACCTCAAGTGATCTGCCTGCCTCAGTCTCCCAAAGTGCTGGGATTACAGGCATGAGCCACCATGCCTAGCTTTTCTTTCCTTTTTTTTTCCCTTCCTTCCTTCAAGACAGGGCCTCCCTCTGTTGTCCAGGCCCGAGTGCAGCGGCACAATCATAGCTCACTGCACCCTCAAATTCCTGGGCACCCTCAAATTCTCCCACCTCAGCCTCCCAAGTAGTTGGGTCTATAGCAGCTACCATGCCGAGCTAGTTTTTAAAATTTTTTTGTAGAGACAGGGTCTCGCTATGTTGCCCAGCCTGGTCTCAAACTTCTAGCCTCAAGCAATCCTCCTGCCTCAACCTCCCAAAGTGCTGGGTTCACAGCGCACCGTCCCTGGTCATGAACACTGTTTCTGAACATGACTTATCTCACCTAATCCTAATAGCTGCCATTGAGCTCTGACCATATTTGGGGCACTGTTCTAATGCTCGTTGCATCCTTTCAACAACTTTGTGAAGGAAGTAATGCTATCTTCTTCATGTTACTGATGGAGAAACTGAGGAAAGCACCCTGTCCCTTGCCCAGGTCCACAGGCTGCAAACAGCAGGGCCAGGGCACAGGCCAGGATGGTCAGTTTCAGAGCATGTGTTCTTACTGCCTGCTGGCACCGCCCACTTCCACTGGGTGTGTCCCTTGCATCTTTTAACAGCCTGGCATTAAGCATTTGGCTGCAGGCACGAAGGGAGCTCAACTGTGTAGTGTCTTGCTACTGGGTCGCCGAGTCCTGATCCCAGGAGGTGAGCCCACGCTTCCCTGTATTTGCGTGACTTCCCGGGTTCCCTCTTGACCTCAGGACTGAAGGAAGTGTCCTGCTCTCATGAGGAGCCCAGCACTTGAGCAGGCACCTCTTTTTCTTGGGGTTCCTGAGCTGCATCCAGCAGGAGCCCTCACCCACTGCTCCCCACTAGGTTTGGTTTGAGACAGGGTCTTGCTCTGTCACCTAGGCTGGAGTACAGTGGGGGCATCATGGCTCACTGTAGCCTGGACCTCCCGGGCTCAAGCGATCCTCCCACCTGAACCTCCCAGAGTGCTGGGATTTCAGTAGTGCACCCCGCGCCTGATCCCTGTTTTTACCAGTTGTAGGCCAGCTGCAATTGCAGCCTGGCATGATCCGCTGTTTCAATGGTGATGACGTCTGTGAAGAAGTCAGGCCCCAGCAGCAGGCAGAGCGCACGGCGGGCGTGGGGACGCTTGGGCCGCCCAGCCGAGAGGGACAGCACTGTGAACTGCTCCTCAGGACCCAGCGACACCAGCTCAGGCCCAAAGACCACACTGCAGAGAGAGCTGGGGGTCAGAGCCAGACCCATGGACAGCCACCCCCATACCCTGCCCGCCCCAACCAGGGCTCACCGGGCTCGCTTCGCTCGGTAGTCATACACCTGCACGGCAGCGTTGTGGGGTACGCGGTAGCTGACCACGCGGGTCTTGTTCCGGGGCGCAGAGGGCTGGAGGCTCTTAGCTGTGCCCTTGTCACCCCTGTCTGCCAGAGGGTCCTGCCCCTTGTTGAGCAGCTCCTCCACCCCGGGAGGCAGCTCCTTCTCCCACAGGACTTCGTCCTCCGTCAGCATGTAGGTGCTTCCAATCACGGCGCGCACCTTGGGGTGAGGACAGGAAGGGATGCTGCCAGTGAGGGTGGAAGGGAGGAAGACCCGCCCAGCGGCCCCGAAGCACAGCCCGTCCAGGGAAGGTGCGGCGCAAGGTTAATCATGGCCTCCGTGGGGAGGGCAGGGTCCACCCCGCATTTGCCATCTGCTGGCCCTGTCGTTGTGGGCTAACTACCTCAGCCCTAGGGCTTCAATTTCCTCCTCTGTCAAGTAGACTTGAGAGTGGCTACCTCCAGGGGTGAAAGGGTGAATGACATCTCCCACATCTACCTCAAACAGCCCTTGCACAGAGAAGGTGCTCAATGTTATTTCTAGAATTTTCTGGCTGGGCACGGTGGCTCATGCCTGTAATCCTAGTACTTTGGGAGGCTGAGGTGGGTGGACTGCCTGAGCTCAGGAGTTTGAGACCAGCCTAGGCAACACAGTGAAACCCTGTCTATTCTAAAAATAAATTAGCTGGGCGTGGTGGCAGATGCCTATAGTCCCAGCTACTCAAGAGGCTGAGGCAGGAGAGTCATTCGAACCCAGGAGGCAGAGGTTGCAGTGAGCCAAGATAGTGCCACTGCACTCCAGCCTGGGCGACAGAGTGAGACTCCATCTCAAAAAAAAAAAAAAAAAAGAATCTTCCTTGAAGGGGCAGTTTGGAGGGCACCCCAGGGACTGTGAAGTAGGCCGTGTACACGGACACTCCCTCGGGTTCCAAGCTGGACTTCCAGCTTGGATTCTTAGAGAAGGTTGGCGATGTGGCCCAAGGTAAAATCAAAGTCAAGGTTTTAAGTAGCAAAAATGAAAGATTCTACTGGCATATGGGCATGGGGGAGGAGGTCCTTCTTTCCCCGGCCACTCCATCAGACGTTTATGCTGGGGACCAGGTCTGCTGTGAGACAGGGTCTCTGTCCTAAACTCCTGCTTGTCTTCTTAGGGGAGGTTCTAATTTTTTTTATTTTTAAGATGGAGTCTTGCTCTGTTGTCCCGGCTGGAGTGCAGTGGTGTGACCTCGGCTCACTGCAGCCTCCACCTCCTGGATTCAAGCAATTCTCCTGCCTCAGCCTCCCAGGCAGCTGAGACTACCCGGACCACCACCATGCTTGGCTCATTTTTGTATTTTTAGTAGAAATGGGGTTTCACCATGTTGACCAGGCTGGTCTTGAACTCCTGACCTCAGGTGATCCACCCACCTTGGCCTCCCAAAGCGCTCGGATTACAGGAGTGAGCCACTGCACCCGGCTGGTTCTAACATTTCAAACGAGATATTTAAGGCAGAAGGATGGCAAATACGCCACGGAGTGCCCTCCCCTGACCAGACAACCTACCCGATGTGGCTCTCCATCTGCTGAAGTCCCCACCCACCTCTCCCCGGTGCCCAGAGGAAGCTGCCACCAAGGCCAAGGCCACAGCCACGTGGCAGCACCACCACCCACCCCCAGCCATTACCTTTCCGGTCTTGACATCCTGCACATAGATGCCCTCGTTCTCATCTAGAGGGATGGCCTGGCGCTCCTCCACCACCTCCACCTTGGCAGACGGCACGTACTCCAGGGGTCCGCGGATGAGCCAGCGGTCCCCAGCCTGGCGTGAGACCTTCTCCACATCCTCCCCCTCTTCCAGGGGCTGCAGAGCCCTCAGCAGCAGCCCCTCCTGCTCCGACAGCACGTACACATCCTGGATGCCTTGTTCCAGCTGCTCTCCTGGCTGGAGGAAAAAAGACTTCTCTCCCTAATGGAGAGACGAGAGGTTAGTGCCAGTGCCTTTAGGCTTGCAGATGCCTCAGATGGCACCTCCCCAGCCCTGTGCTGTCTCAAGCCTGTGTGGAGGACAGGAGCCCCAGAAGCACGCCCCCACCCCCACATCATAATACGGTGAGGCTCTACGCAATGCCTGCCAAATCTCATCTGGTCAAATGTGTCCTTGAAAGATTCTATAAACTGTCAGGTCCTGGATCCACACAAACTAAACCATTAAAAATCAACCTCTTTTTTCTCCTTTCTCCCAGGCTTTGTTTTCTAGAGAGGGTGTAACCTAAGGCTTGACAAGTTCTGGTTTTCAGGCCAAATCTGGATTCCGCTTTTTTCTTTTTTGGGGGGTAATAGGGTCTTGCTCTGTTGTCCAGGCTGGAGTGCAGTGGCACCATCTCAACTCACTGCAGCTTCAGCCTTCCAGGTTCAAGCAGTCCTCCCACCTCAGCCTCCCAAGGAGCCGAGACTACAGATGCGTGTCACCGCACCCGGCTAATTTTTGTGTGCCTGGTAGTGACGGGGTTTCGTCATGTTGCCTAGGCTGGTCTCAAAATCCTGGGCTTAAACAATCCACCCGCCTCGGCCTCCCAAAGTGCTAAGATTATAGACATGAGCCACCATGCCCAGCACTGCCTGTTTTTTTAAAAAAATTATTGGGCTATAATCCACATGAAATTTTCCCATCTAGAGTATACAATTCAGTTGTTTTAGTATGCTCAAAGTTGTCCACCCATCACTACTATGGAAGTCTAGAGTATTTTCATCATCACCCTGAAAAGAAACCCTGTACCTAGTAGAAGTTACTGCTACTCCCCACCCACCCTACCCACCACTCGTCTATTTTTGTTATTTACCTATTCTGGACATTCATATCAATGGAATCATGCAATATGTGGTCTTTGATGTCTGGCTTTTTTTTTTTGAGACAGAGTCTTGCTCAGCCGCCTAGGCTGGAGTGCAGTGACGCGATCTTGGCTCACTGCAACCACTGTCTCCCAGTTCAAGCGATTCTCTTATCTCAGCCTCCTGAGTGGCTAGGATTACAGGCACCTGCCATCATGCCTGGCTAATTTCCGTATTTTAGTAGAGATGGGGTTTCACCATGTTGGTGAGGCTGGTCTGAACTCCTGACCTCAGGTGATCTGCCCGCCTCAGCCTCCCAAAGTGTTAGAATTACAGGTGTGAGACACCACAACCAGCCGGCTTCTTTCACTTATCATAATGTTTATCAATTTTAATCCATGTTGTAGCACATATGTCATTTCATTGTTTTCTTTTTCCTGGAGACAGGATCTCACTCTGTTGCCTCAGGCTGGACTACAGTGGCACCATACAGTCTCCACTTCCTGGAATCAAGTAATTTTCCCACTTCAGCCTCCCAAGTAGCTGAGACTACCAGTGTGCCACCATGTCTGGCCAGTTTTTAAACAGTTTTGTAAAAGTGGGGTCTCGCCCAGCCTGGCCAACATGGCGAAACCCCATCTCTACTAAAAACACAAAAATTAGCTGGGCGTGGTGGCAGGCACCTGTAATCCCAGCTACTTGCAGGGCTGAGGCAGAAGAATTGCTTGAATCCGGGAGGCGGAGGTTGCAGTGAGCCCAGATCATGCCACTGCACTCCAGCCTGGGTGACAGAGCGAGATTGTTTCCAAAAAAAAAAGTAAAAATGGAGTCTCGCTATGTTATCCAGGCTAGTCTCCAACTCCTGGCTTCAAGTAATCCTCTGCCTCGGCCTCTCAAAGAGCTGGGATTATAGTCATGAGCTGCTGTGCCTGACCTGCCATTTCTCTTATGGCTGAATGATATTCCATTGTATGGATGTGCCACAATTTTTTATCTATTCGTTAAATGGTGTACATTTGGGTTATTTCTACTTTTTTTTTTTT